CACACTGCTAGGGTGACAGTATGTAAATACAAAAAAAAAACAAAACAAAAAACAAATAATATAAAAAAAAAAATAAAAATGTAAAAAACAAATGTTTAAAAATTATAATTTTTGGTTATAAACTAATTTGGGTTATTTTTTTTTTACTAAAAAGATAACGGAATACATTTTGGCCAAGATTTATGATGAAATTTTATTTATTTGCAAAATTTTATAAGAAAAACTTTTTTCAAAATTTTTGAACTTTTTCCTTTATATAGCAAAAAAAAAAAAAAAATCCCAGCGGTGAATAAATACCACCAAAATAAAGCTTTATCTGTCTCAAAAAAATGGTCAAAAATTCATATGTGCACAGTGTTGCATGACCGCGCAATTGTCATTCAAAGTGTGATAGCGCTGAAAGCTGAAAATTGCCCTGGACAGGAAGGGGGTGAAAGTGTCCGGACAGGAAGGGGGTGAAAGTGTCCGGACTGGAAGGGGGGAAAGTGTCCGGACTGGAAGGGGGTGAAAGTGTCCGGACTGGAAGGGGGGGAAGTGTCCGGACTGGAAGGGGGGAAAGTGTCCGGACTGGAAGGGGGTGAAAGTGTCCGGACTGGAAGGGGGTGAAAGTGTCCGGACTGGAAGGGGGGGAAAGTGTCCGGACTGGAAGGGGGGGAAAGTGTCCGGACTGGAAGGGGGTGAAAGTGTCCGGACTGGAAGGGGGTGAAAGTGTCCGGACTGGAAGGGGGGAAAGTGTCCGGACTGGAAGGGGGTGAAAGTGTCCGGACTGGAAGGGGGTGAAAGTGTCCGGACTGGAAGGGGGGGGAAAGTGTCCGGACTGGAAGGGGGGGGAAAGCGTCCGGACTGGAAGGGGGGGAAAGCGTCCGGACTGGAAGGGGGTGAAAGTGTCCGGACTGTTAGGGGGGGAAAGCGTCCGGACTGGAAGAGGGGGAAAGTGTCCGGACTGGAATGAGGGAAAGTGTCCGGACTGGAAGGGGGTGAAAGTGTCCGGACTGGAAGGGGGGGAAGTGTCCGGACTGGAAGGGGGGGAAGTGTCCGGACTGGAAGGGGGGGGAAAGTGTCCGGACTGGAAGGGGGGGTGAAAGTGTCCGGACTGGAAAGAGGGGGAAAGTGTCCGGACTGGAAAGGGGGGGGAAGTGTCCGGACTGGAAGGGGGGGAAAGTGGCCGGACTGGAAGGGGGGAAGTGTCCGGACTGGAAGGGGGGAAGTGTCCGGACTGGAAGGGGGTGAAAGCGTCCGGACTGGAAGGGGGGGAAAGCGTCCGGACTGGAAGGGGGGGGGAAAGCGCCCGGACTGGAAGGGGGGGGAAAGCGCCCGGACTGGAAGAGGGGGAAAGCAGGCCATACACGGGTCGAATTCCGAACGATTTTTTCGATCGAAAATCGAAAACATTGTTTGTTCTGTAATCCGATGGCGCCACCATTGATTTTGAAAATAGGTTGTTTTTCACAAATTTTCCAGCATGCCCCGATAAACGAAATGGGGAGGAACCAGGAAAATCGTCCGGTGCCATCGCCCCACTAACAGAGCGAAAATCGGCCGATTATTCTTAGGTCTGATTTTCGAACGAAAAATGGTTAAAAAAATCGACCCGTGTATGGCCGGCTCAGGCGCACCCTCTTGATGATGCACATACGTGATGGGCGCTCTTGAGGCGGTTGAAGGCGCGGCACGCTTCCAAGGCTCTGGTTATATTTCACATCTGATGTATATTTCTTCTTCAGGACGACTTTGAAGTGTCTCTCTTTGTGGGTCCATATGGAGCGTCCCTCGTAGTTGTCGTCTGTTTATGAAAAAAAAAAATTCACATAGCCGTTTGTCCAGTGAGCCAATGGCTGCATTTCACCTCTGTTCACACTGCTGCGACTTTGAAGCGACTTTGAGGGAATGCTGGGTAATCTTCCTGTAATGTCGGATTCAAATCACATCAATATAGAGGAAGATCCGACTTGGAGGCGACTTCCATTGAAGTCTATGGGCACAAGTGGGATAGAAGTCGCCTGGAAGTAGCACAGGAACCTTTTCTACAGTCGCAGCGACTTCAGTGGTGCGACTTCAGGACGGCTCTCATTGACTAACATGGGACTTCACGTCATGTGACATGGGGGGGGCCTCAAAAGTCGGATCTCAAGTCGAATCAGTGCGAACCGACCATAATTCGCAAATTCCCTCTGGCGTTCTCTCGGTACATTGTATCTCTGCTATTATAGAGTCTTAGGGCTCATTCACACGACTGGTTGGGAGCGGTAGAACCCCAGGTTTTTATTGCCCCCCCCCCAGCCATTACCCCATTTAGTTGCAGAGGCAGTGGCTGGGCGTGTAGAAATGCTTCAGCCGTGGCAGGAATTATACCCCCCCCCCCCCCCCGTCAGTATCGGACATTTCCTGTACAGTTGGTGGTCATAATGTAATGGCTGATCAGGGTATATAGAGGGGGAGGGGGGGGGGTTGTACAGTATATAGATTGTATACAGTCGGTGGTCATAATGTTATGGCTGATCGGTGTATATAGAGGGGGGGGGGGGGTTGTACAGTATATAGGTTGTATACAGTCGGTGGTCATAATGTAATGGCTCATCGGTGTATATAGAGGGGGGAGGGGGGGGGGTTTGTACAGTATATAGATTGTATACAGTCGGTGGTCATAATGTTATGGCTGATCGGTGTATATGGAGGGGGGAGGGGGGGGTTGTACAGTATATAGATTGTATACAGTCGGTGGTCATAATGTAATGGCTGATCGGGGTATATAGAGGGCGGGGGGGAGGGGTTGTACAGTATATAGATTGTATATAGTCGGTGGTCATAATGTTATGGCTGATCAGGGTATATAGAGGGGGGGGGGGTTGTACAGTATATAGGTTGTATACAGTCGGTGGTCATAATGTAATGGCTGATCGGTGTATATAGGGGGGGGGGGGGGGTTGTACAGTATATAGATTGTATATAGTCGGTGGTCATAATGTTATGGCTGATCAGGGTATATAGAGGGGGGGGGGGTTGTACAGTATATAGGTTGTATACAGTCGGTGGTCATAATGTAATGGCTGATCGGTGTATATAGAGGGGGGGGGGGGGTATATATTTTTTGTACAGTATATAGATTGTATATAGTCGGTGGTCATAATGTATTGGCTCATCGGTGTATATAGGGGGGGGGGGAGGGGTTGTACAGTATATAGTTTGTATATAGTCGGTGGTCATAATGTATTGGCTCATCGGGGTATATAGAGGGGGGGGGGAGGGGGGGGTTGTACAGTATATAGATTGTATACAGTCGGTGGTCATAATGTATTGGCTCATCGGTGTATATAGAGGGGGGAGGGGGGGGGGGTTGTACAGTATATAGATTGTATACAGTCGGTGGTCATAATGTAATGGCTCATCGGTGTATATAGAGGGGGGGGGGGGTTGTACAGTATATAGATTGTATACAGTCGGTGGTCATAATGTATTGGCTGATCGGTGTATATAGAGGGGGGGGGGGGGGGGGGTTGTACAGTATATAGATTGTATACAGTATCGGTCGGTGGTCATAATGTATTGGCTCATCGGTGTATATAGAGGGGGGGGGGGGGTTGTACAGTATATAGATTGTATATAGTCGGTGGTCATAATGTAATGGCTCATCGGGGTATATAGAGGGGGGGGGGGGGTTGTACAGTATATAGATTGTATACAGTCGGTGGTCATAATGTAATGGCTCATCGGTGTATATAGAGGGGGGAGGGGGGGGTTGTACAGTATATAGATTGTATATAGTGGGTGGTCATAATGTAATGGCTGATCGGGGTATATAGAGGGCGGGGGGGAGGGGCACCTCCTTTGCCCCTCAGCTCCTCCTATCAGCCATCCTTCTGTCTGTTACTCCTCCCAATATATAAAGGAACGTTCGTTCAGAAGGGACGCAGCCTACAGATCGTTCACTTTTGCTCCATTCACACAGAAGACATGTACAGCAAATTCGCTGGACGAACGGCTATGCAATTTTTATTTTTTATAAATAGCCCCCCCGATGTCGGCACCGACCCGGAGAACGCATGGCTTTGGGAGGGAACAAACCTGGGGGGTTCTTTTTTTTTTGTTTGTTTTTTTAACAAAATAAGTCGGCCGGTCCCTCCTGTGATTATGGGCTGGAATGGGGGAGGTCTGGAGATGGGAGAAGGTGTGCAGCTCTGGTAGCAGCATATTTCAGTTCCACGTCACTCAGCCATCATCCCTGAAATCTCGTGTGACCCCCCTTCACTATATAGGGGGACGGTGTGTGAAGACGGACGACAGATCTGATCTCATGTTTGTGGGTCAAATGTCTCTGTAGATTCGGATTCCTTCTGCCCTGCGACCCTCAGAATTTGGGGTGGGGGGGTGGGGTGGGGGGGGGGTCCCCTCTGCCTATGGAAATGACAATGTTGCCAAAATGTGAAGTTGGCAGTCCGCCTCTAGCAATATGTGTCTCCCTGCACTGACCGATCTGCGTGCCCCCCCCCCCCCCCCGGGTATCGATCGATGAAAGGGCATTATGTACAAATATTTAAGTGCAATGCAATTCCTCGTTGTCACCGGTACTGTCCGCCATCAGCTCCTCTCGACACATTTTGTGCATTTTCTACCATATATTGTATTTATTTTATTTTTTTTTAGGATGTTTTATGTTTGTTTTGAAGCTCTGTATATATTGTCATTAAAAATTTACATTATACGATATTCTCCCCGGGTCGTGTCTTCATTCAACGCACGCCAAGAGAAAGCGGAAGGGAAATCTAATGAATTCGTTTAAAATAAATGTTCCATTTTCATCGCATAACTTAATTTACGCCCAGCGATGTCATCACTGGCTCCCTGTGCTTCTCTGTGCAATGCAGGCAGATCACGGCTTGTCGGAGGGGCCGGCAGGGGGGCCGTACATACTGCAGCTTCCTGATAATACCTCAGCACCCTGCCTCAGTACTCCTCTCAAGGTAGGTAGTGGGAGGAGCTATCAAAATGCCTTGATGGGGGGGTACCAGTCTGGGGGAGGGGGTGTTCCTAGGCAGGCTGCACTTGGTAAGGCCCACGTGTTATGCTGAGCCTTCCTGATTGACAGAACTGACTGAAATCCAATGAATGTAAGAGGGCCAGGGTCAGTCAGGATGGGGAGAAAAGCCCTAGATGTTGCTGGACATCCTCCAGCTAAGAAAGGAGGCGGAGCTCTCTCTGACTGGCTGCAGCTTCTAATGCACATTGTGAGAAACTCCCAGTGTGCAGTGACATCAGAGGAAGCCATTCCAGTCTAGGGGAGGGGCTGGTACACCTGTGCAAGACTGAAGGGGAGGAGCCGGTACACCTGTGCAAACCTGAAGGGGAGGAGCCGGTACACCTGTGCAAACCTGAAGGGGAGGAGCCGGTACACCTGTGCAAACCTGAAGGGGAGGAGCCGGCACACCTGTGCAAGACTGAAGGGGAGGAGCCGGTACAAGTGTCCAAGACTGAAGTGGGGGAGGAGCCGGTACACCTGTGCAAGACTGAAAGGGAGGAGCCGGTACACCTGTGCAAGATTGAAGGGGAGGAGCCGGTACAAGTGTCCATGACTGAAGGGGAGGAGCCAGTACAAGTGTCCGAAACTGAAGGGGAGGAGCCGGTACACCTGTGCAAGACAAGCGGAGGAGCCGGTACACCTGTGCAAGACTGAAGGGGAGGAGCCGGTACACCTGTAGAAGACTGAAGAGGAGGAGCCGGTACACCTGTAGAAGACTGAAGGGGAGGAGCCGGCACACCTGTGCAAGATTGAAGGGGAGGAGCCGGTACAAGTGTCCATGACTGAAGGGGAGGAGCCAGTACAAGTGTCCGAAACTGAAGGGGAGGAGCCGGTACACCTGTGCAAGACAAGGGGAGGAGCCGCTACACCTGTGCAAGACAAGCGGAGGAGCCGGTACACCTGTGCAAGACTGAAGGGGAGGAGCCGGTACACCTGTAGTAGACTGAAGAGGAGGAGCTGGTACACCTGTAGAAGACTGAAGAGGAGGAGCCGGTACACCTGTGCAAGACTGAAGGGGAGGAGCCGATACACCTGTGCAAGACTGAAGGGGAGGAGCCGGTACACCTGTGCAAGACTGAAGGGGAGGAACTGATACACCTGTGCAAGACTGAAGGGGAGGAGCCGGTACACCTGTGCAAGACTGAAGGGGAGGAGCCGGTACACCTGTGCAAGACTGAAGGGGAGGAGCCGGTACAACCTGTGCAAGACTGAAGGGGAGGAGCCGGTACACCTGTGCAAGACTGAAGGGGAGGCCGGAGGGGGAATTTAAATTCTGAGCCCTTCTGACTGGTCTGGTGACCTCACAGGTCCTTCATTCTCTCCTATCATAGTGGGGGGGGGGGGGGGTTACCAATGGCCCTCATGTTGGGGGGCCCAGGTCGTGATGAAGACTTCCAGGGGGGTGTCTCCCCAACCGTTGGGACCTGCAGGCAGTGGATGGGACAATGCTGGGTGTGTAGCCTGGAGAGCAGAGCGGTACGTCTGGGGGGGGGCGGCACCAGAGAGGAGGGGAGTATTGCAGGGAAATCTTTCTTCTTTATAGCTGCTGGGCTGTATATTTATGTTTTTTATTTATCGCCAAAACGTGGAATTTGGTTCGGCTCGTTTCCACCTTCAATGAGGAATCACCTCATTACAGCCCAATATACTGTATATATATATATATATGACTGCAAATCAGGAAGAAGATGACACAGATCATCACTCCTTACCATGGCGCCGGGTCCAGGCTGGAGAGGAGGAGGAGCCATTCCAGGTGCGGAAATAATAGAAAATTCTAATTTTGTTTTAGTTAACTGGCTCCACATAAAATGTAACGACAAACAAATAGAAAACAATCATTTTATTGTGCAAATGACTCCATAAAAAATGACATTTATTGGCCACAAAACCCACGATGTACACAATGACGAGCTCTTCCTCAATCATACAGAACGCTGCGTGACACTGCACAACCGGAGTGAAAGAACGAAGGGTGGCGCTCCACGTTCCTCTCTGCAGATCTGCTGCTTTGGGAAGAGCCTGTCCTGGCTCAGTGCATGCAATGCAGGGGGGAGGGAAAACCCTGAAGGCCACCAACAGGACCGGGCCAGCACAGCAGCTAAATTGCTGGCACTTCCACCTGGCAGTACTCGGGTCATTGGTTCAAATCCCAACCATGGCACCACCTGCCTGGAGTTTGCATGTTCTCCCTGTGCCTGGGTGAGATTCCTCCCACACTCCAAAGACATGCTGGTAGGTTAATTGGCTCCTGTCCAAATTGGCCCTAATATGTGTATGTATGATTGTGAGTTAGGGACCTTAGATTATACGCTCCTCGGGGGCGGGGACTGATGGGAATATACAATATATACACGGCTCAAAAAAATGAAAGGACGACTTTGTAATCCGAGTCGCATCGAGTCCATAAACCTCCTGGGACATGGATCTGGTCAGGTAAGTAGCAGGGGGGGGTTGTTCATCATTTTCAGCTACTTTGGTGGTCATGAAATGAACAGGTGCACTAGATGGGCAACAATAAGACAACCCCCCAAAAACAGGAATGGTTTTACAGGTGGAGGTTGCTGACTTTTTTTCCTACTCATCTTTTCTGACTGTTTTTCACTCGTTTTTGCATTTGGCTCGGGTCAGTGTCACTACTGGTAGCATGAGGCCCTACCTGGACCCTACAGAGGTTACACAGGCAGTCCAACTCCTCCAGGATGTCACATCAATACCTGCCATTGCCAGAAGGTTTGCTGTGTCTCCCAGCACAGTCTCAAGAGCATGGAGGAGATTCCGGGAGACGAGCATGGAGGAGATTCCGGGAGACGAGAGCGTGGAGGAGATTCCGGGAGACGAGAGCGTGGAGGGGATTCCGGGAGACGAGAGCGTGGAGGGGATTCCGGGAGACGAGAGCGTGGAGGGGATTCCGGGAGACGAGAGCACGGGGGGGATTCCGGGAGACGAGAGCACGGGGGGGATTCCGGGAGACGAGAGCACGGGGGGGATTCCGGGAGACGAGAGCACGGAGGAGATTCCTGGAGACGAGAGCACGGAGGAGATTCCTGGAGACGAGAGCATGGGGCAGATTCCGGGAGACGAGAGCACGGGGCAGATTCCGGGAGACGAGAGCATGGAGGGGATTCCGGGAGGCGAGAGCGCGGGAGGAGATTCCGGGAGGCGAGAGCACGGAGGGGATTCCGGGAGGCGAGAGCGCGGGAGGAGATTCCGGGAGGCGAGAGCGCGGGGGGGGATTGCGGGAGGCGAGAGCGCGGGGGGGATTGCGGGAGGCGAGAAAAGCGCGGGGGAAGATTGCGGGAGGCGAGAGCGCGGGGGAGATTGCGGGAGGCGAGAGCGCGGGGGAGATTGCGGGAGGCGAGAGCGCGGGGGAGATTGCGGGAGGCGAGAGCGCGGAGGGGATTGCGGGAGGCGAGAGCGCGGAGGGGATTGCGGGAGGCGCGAGAGCGCGGAGGGGATTGCGGGAGGCGAGAGCGCGGAGGGGATTGCGGGAGGCGAGAGCATGGAGGAGATTCCGGGAGACAGGCAGTTCTACTAGGAGGGCTGGACAGGGCCGTAGAAGGTCCTTAACCCATCAGCAGGACCGGTATCTGCTCCTTTGTGGAGGAGGAACAGGATGAGCCCTGCCAGAGCCCTACAGAATGACCTCCAGCAGGCCACTGGTGGAATGTCTCTAACCAAACAATCAGAAACAGACTTCATGAAGGTGGCCTGAGGGGGCCCGACGTCCTCTAGTGGGCCCCTGTGCTCACTGCCCGGCACCATAGAGCTGGATTGGGCATTGGCCATTGAACCCCAGAATTGGTAGGTCCACCACTGGCAACCCTGTGCTTTTCACAGATGAGAGCAGGTTCCCCCTGAGCACATGTGACAGACGTGAAAGGGTCTGGAGAAGCCGTGGAGAACGTTCTGCTGCCTGTAACATGGTTCAGCATGACTGCTTTGGTGGTGGGTCAGTGATGGTCTGGGGAGGCATCTCCATGGAGGGACACACAGACCTCTAATCTTTCCTCATAGCTGAGCTCCTCCATGCCTCCTATCAGTTTGGTTGCCCCTTCTCTGCCCTTTGTGATACATTAGTGTGGTGGTCGGTGGGAAGAACGCTCCTCACACTGGTGGTCATTGGGAAGAATTACAAATTGAAATAAACCAATGGTGTCAGTAGGAACTTATCTCAGAGGCAGAAATTGCTTATTGCTCAAGGAAGCCCTAGCAATGTCTGGAGCACATGTCTCAAACACAAGGCCACAGGCCAAATCTGGCCCCCCAGGCCATTTCATGTGGCCCTCGAACCTGTCTTGCAGCTGCGGCACCGCCCCCTCATCTCCTCCCCTCCTTGTCTCAGCATTCAGCAGCAGAGAGGACAGATCTACTCCTACAAATCCTGTTCCTCTTTGTGCAGCAGCAGCACCCCCTCATCTCCACCTCCCCTGGTCTCAGCATTGGGCAGACTAGCAGCTGATTCCAGCCCTCCTCAGGTCCTCCTCCACACCCTGCACTTTCTGCTTCCCAGCTCCGCCCCTAGCAGCACATGATAAGAGGGGGTGCACTGTGATGTATGGGAGGGTGGGGGGCTCTTGACATCTGATGTAAGGGGGAGGGTGCTCTGGACATCTAGTCTTACAGATACAACCAGCCTTTTGAAGGCAACCATAATACTTATGTGACCCGCCATGAAAATGAGTGAAGGGATGGAAGCCGCTCAAAACCGACCCCAGGAGTACACTGTTAAGGAATGGCCTCCCGCCACCATACTGGTCACGCCCTCTGATGTGTTTTGCCCCGCCCACCCCTGCCTCTGTGACTAAGCCTCAGGGGGTGGAGTGAAATGCATCAGAGGGAGTGGCCAGTACGGCGGCTGAGGCCATTTCTTAACATTGGGCTCTTGGGGTCGGTTGAGCGGCATTCATCCCTTCACTTGTATTGGCTGACACCGGAATCGTTTGGACTCATGCTCCCCTCTTCTCACTTTCCAGTGAGGTGACCCTCTTCCTTCCATCCATAGCTTGGAGCAGCTCCATAAAGTATACTTTTCACTGCCATGAAAATGAGTTTGATACCCCTGGTCTGGAGGAACCTGATATAAAGGATTACTGGGTGCTCATTGGTGTCATCTTTGAAAGTCTTTGCGGCAATTTGGCTGATTCATTGGCAGATATACACTATATTTCCAAAAGTATTGTCCCTTCCCTCTCAATCATGTGATTCAGGTGTTCCAATCCCCTCCATATCATGTGATTCAGGTGTTCCAATCCCCTCCCAATCCTGTGATTCAGGTCCTCCAATCCCCTCCATATCATGTGATTCAGGTGTTCCAATCCTCTCCCCAATCATGTGACTCAGGTGTCCCAATCCCCTCCATGGACACAGGTGTATACAATCCATCCCCTAGGCATGCAGACGGCTTCTACAAACATTGGTGAAAGAATGGGTCGCTCTCAGGAGCTCCGTGACTCCAAGCGTGGTCCCGTGATAGGTGGCCACCTGGGCAATAAGTCCATCCGTGACATTTCCTGGCTACTAAATATTCCACGCTCAACTGTTAGTGGGATTATAACAAAGTGGAAGCAACTGGGAACAACAGCCACTCAGCCAGCAAGTGGTAGGCCACGTCACATGACAGGGCGGGGTCAGCGCATGCTGAAGCGCACAGTGCGCAGAAGTCGCCAACTGTCTGCAGAGTCAATAGCTAGAGACCTCCAAACTTGGTGTGGCCTTCAGATGAGCCCAACAACAGTGCGTAGAGAGCTTCATGGAATGGGTTTCCATGGCCGAGCAGCTGCATCCAAGCCTTCCATCACCAAGTGCAATGCAAAGCGTCGGATGCCGTGGCGTAAAGCACGCCGCCACTGGACTCTAGAGCAGAGGAGACGTGTTCTCTGGAGTGACCAATCATACTCAAACTCTCTGTCTGGCAATCCGATGGACGTGTCTGGGTTTGGCAGTGGCCAGGAGATCAGTACTTGCCTGACTGCATTGTGCCAAGTGTAAAGTTTGGTGGAGGAAGGATTATGGTGTGGGGGTATTGTTCAGGGGTTGGGCTTGGCCCCCTAGTTCCAGTAAAGGGAACTCTTAAGGCAACATTTTGGACAATTTCATGCTCCCAACTTTGTGGGAAGAGTTTGGGGATGGCCCCTTCCTGTTCCAACATGACTGCCCCCCAGTGCACAAAGCAAGGTCCATAAAGACATGGAGGAGCCAGTTTTGGGGTGGAGGAACTTGACTGTCCTGCACAGAGTCCTGACCTCAACCCCATAGAACACCTTTGGGATGAATTAGGGCGGAGACTGCGAGCCAGGCCTCCTCCCCCGACATCAGTGCCTGACCTGACAAATGTGCTTCTCAAAGAATGGTCCAACCTTCCCATAGACACCCTCCTAAACCTTGTGGGGGGCCTTCCCAGAAGAGTTGAAGCTGTTTATAGCTGCAAAGGGTGGGGCCAACTCAATATTGAACCCTACAGACTAAGACTGGAGGGCCAATAAAGGTCATGTGTGTGTGGGAAGGGCGGGGCCAACTCAATATTGAACCCTACGGACTAAGACTGGGGAGCCATTAAAGGTCATGTGCATGGAAAGGGTGGGGCCAACTCAATATTGAACCCTACGGACTAAGACTGGGGGGCCATTAAAGGTCATGTGCGGGGAAAGGCCAGCAGCCCAATACTTGGGGCAGTATAGTGTATATCTGGGTGCACTTCCACCATCTTGCCTTCAGACATCCACCTTCTGCGTCCTCTTGGGTCTTTGCTTGGCCTTTTTTCCATTTGCAGGGACCTGTTCTGTCCTTAATTTGCAGTATACGCACCTCTATATGAAAATGCTCATAGTTTTGGAACAAGATGTCTAACAATCTCTCATACAAGCAGATATGATTGGTCGGGGCGTGCTGCCATGGAATGTAAAAGCCGTTATAAGATCTGATCAGGGTATCGTGTCTTTGAAATGAGGAAGGTAGATTTTTCTCACTTTTTTTTTTTTCTTTTCAGAATAGAAATAAAGAAATGAGCAGATCCTGCCTCGGTGTGCTTCACTTCCAGTGCAATGCATAGTTCAGCCATGATAGGAGAGTATTCAGTCATTAAGTACACGGGTCTGTCATTTTCATATCTTACCACTAGATGGCAGTGACGCTCCGCCAGATCAGAGGAATGCTGGGACCTGCGTGGAGTCCTATTGGATGGAGGAAGAATTCAGCATTGTGTGGCCTGGAGGAGCCCGGAGTACAGCGGGGATGCGGTTTTTGGCTGCATTTGAATTCCAGCTGCCTGGATCCGGGGGTGTCCGACCGTCTGGCCTTCCATCGGCAGAAGACAAATTGTTTTGGGCTTACACATGAAAAGACCAAAAAACATTCACAATTTTGAGTCGCGGCAGAAATCATCACCCTCAGTCCATAATCCCGAGTCGCACTTCAATCGCTGCAAAACGCACCACGCATGCTTCATACCTCCCAACTGTCACTGATTCCGAACAAGTCCCACTGTCCTCATTTGTCCTCCTGCCCCTCTGTCCTCCTGCCCCTCTGTTCTCCTTCCCCTCTGTCCCCGCCGTCCCCTCTGTCCTCCTGCCCCTCTGTTCCCTTGCAGCTCTACCCCCTGCCCCTCTGTCCTCCTGCCCCTTTGTTCCTCTGCCCCCTCTGTTCTCCTTCCCCTCTGTCCCTGCCGTCCTCCTGCCCCTCTGTCCCCCTGTTCCTCTGTCCCCCGCCCCTCTGTTCCTCTGTCCTCCTGCCCCCTCTCTCCCCCTGGCCCTCCATCTCTCTGTCCTTCTGTCTCCCTGCTCCTCTGCCACTCTGTTCCTCTGTCCTCCTGCCCCCTCTGTCCCCCTGCCCGCCTAGCCCTCCATCTCTCTGTCCTTCCATCCTTCTGTCCCTCTGCTCCTCTGTCCTCATTTGTCCCTCATTCTGGTCTGATCTCCCTGCTCCTCTGCCACTCTGTTCCTCTGTCCCCCTGTCCCTCCTGCCCTACTGTCCCCCTGGCCCTCCATTTCTCTGTCCTTCCCATCCCTCTGTCCCCCTGCCTCCCTGCTCCTCTGTCCTCATTTGTCCCTCATTCTGGTCTGATCTCTGTAGTTGTATATAAATTGTACTATTTATCAAAAAGTGAAGCGCGGGCAGAAATTGTCACCGTCAGCCCATAATCCCGAGTTCCACCGCAGTTGCGGAAAAATGCAACACTAACACGCTTCATAACTGTCACTGATTCCAAACAAGGCCTCTGTCCTCCTGACCCTCTATTCCCCTGACCCTCTGTTCCCCTGACCCTCTGTTCCCCTGACCCTCTGTTCCCCTGACCCTCTGTTCCCCTGACCCTCTGTCCCCCTGCCCCTCTGTTCCCCTGCCCCCTCTGTTCCCCTGCCCCTCTGTTCCCCTGCCCCTCTGTTCCCCTGCCCCTCTGTTCCCCTGACCCTCTGTTCCCCTGCCCCTCTGTCCTCCTGACCCTCTGTTCCCCTGCCCCTCTGTTCCCCTGCCCCTCTGTCCCCCTGTTCCCCTGCCCCTCTGTCCCCCTGCCCCTCTGTTCCCCTGCCCCTCCGTCCTTCTGTCCCCTCATTTGTCCCTCATTCTGGTCTGATCTCTGTAGTTGTATATAAAATGTACAATTTATCAAAAAGTGTTTCCCAGTGCCAAATCTTTCATCCATCTTTTATTTGGAGGGGAGATTTGTGTTAGGAGGGGGGAGGAGTTGTAATTAGGAGGGGGGATTGGAGGGGGTTGCACTAGGAGAGGAGATTTGTGTTAGGAGGGGGGATTGTCTCTGTCCTCCCATGTCAGTCCCCCCCCCTCATGTCACTGGCCCCCCACATGTCACTGTCCCCCACATGTTATGGCCCCCCCATGTCACTGACCCCCACAGATGTCACTGTCCTCCCCCCATGTCATTCCCCCTCCTCATGTCACTGTCCTCCCATGTCAGTCCCCCCCCCCCCCATGTCACTGGCCCCCCACATGTCACTGTCCTCCGCATGTCATGCCCCCCTTCATGTTATGGCCCCCTCATGTCACTGAACATCCGACCACATGTCAGTGTCTTCCCCATGTCACAGCCCCCCCATGTCATTGACCCCCACATGTCAATTCCCCCCCTCCTGTCAATGTCCTCCCCATGTCACGGCCCCCCCATGTCACTGACCCCCCCCCCCCCCAAATGTCACTGTCCTCCCCATGTCATTCCCCGCCCCCCATGTCACTGTCCTCCCATGTGAGTCACCCCCCCCCCCATGTCACTGTCCTCCCATGTGTGTGTCCCCCCCCATGTTGTCACTGTCCTCCCATGTGAGCCCCCCCCCCCCCCCATGTTGTCACTGTCCTCCCATGTGAGTCCCTCCCCCCCCCCCCATGTCACTGTCCTCCCATGTGAGTCCCCCCCCCCCCCCCATGTCACTGTCCTCCCATGTGAGTCCCCCCCCCCCCCATGTCACTGTCCTCCCATGTGAGTCCCCCCCCCCCCCCCCATGTCACTGTCCTCCCATGTGAGTCCCCCCCCCCCCCCCCCCCCATGTCACTGTCCTCCCATGTGAGTCCCCCCCCCCCCCCCATGTCACTGTCCTCCCATGTGAGTCCCCCCCCCCCCCCCATGTCACTGTCCTCCCATGTGAGTCCCCCCCCCCCCCCCCATGTCACTGTCCTCCCATGTGAGTCCCCCCCCCCCCCCCCCCCCATGTCACTGTCCTCCCATGTGAGTCCCCCCCCCCCCCATGTCACTGTCCTCCCATGTGAGTCCCCCCCCCCCCCCATGTCACTGTCCTCCCATGTGAGTCACCCCCCCCCCCCCCCCCCCCATGTCACTGTCCTCCCATGTGAGTCGTTCCCCCCCCCCCCCATGTCACTGTCCTCCCATGTGAGTCGTCCCCCCCCCCCCCCCCATGTCACTGTCCTCCCATGTGAGTCCCCCCCCCCCCCCCCCATGTCACTGTCCTCCCATGTGAGTCCCCCCCCCCCCCCCCCATGTCACTGTCCTCCCATGTGAGTCCCCCCCCCCCCCATGTCACTGTCCTCCCATGTGAGTCCCCCCCCCCCCATGTCACTGTCCTCCCATGTGAGTCCCCCCCCCCCCCCAATGTCACTGTCCTCCCATGTGAGTCCCCCCCCCCCATGTCACTGTCCTCCCATGTGAGTCCCCCCCCCCCCCCATGTCACTGTCCTCCACATGTCACTCCCCCCCTTATGGTCACTGACCCCCCCCACATGTCAGTGTCCTCCCCATGTCATATCAGAAGAAGAAAAAGAAGAATTCCAGTCCGCTATTATATTTTTATATGAAAGTCTTGCGTTTGCAACAATGTATCCATTTGTATCCGAATAAAAACATCTGTATCCAAAATGGATACAAATGGATACAAATGGATACATTGTTGCAACCGCAAGACTTTCATGTAAAATATAATAGCGGAGCTCCCTGCAGGGACAGAAGTAATTATGGGGTTAAATGCCGGCCGCAGACGGGACGAAAATCTGCCGATTTTTTATCGTTGGTGGTAATGAATCGAACGACCGATTTTTTTTTTTTTTTTTTTTCCAAAAAACATCCGGTTTTCGACCCGTCTATGGCCTGCTTTTCACACGTATTGTACAATCAGCGGTAAGGTCAGGGAAGACGTTCACCATGGAATACAAGCGATATGCCCAGAATTCCTCAGTCGCTGCTCTGAGGACGGGACGTCTGATCCAAGGAGTGTAACCTTGGCAGGGTCGGTCCCCTTACTGTGGGCAGCTGGGCACATGAATTATCCCCCCCCCCATGACACAGCACCATCCCCTCCTATTGTCGATCCTTGTTCTGATGATCCAGAGCTCAGGGATCAGAGGGATTCAATGTGCTGTAAACAAGTCTTCATACAGAATTCACAGAGCTCGGCTCATCG